TGATCAATTATCGACTAATGCACCTGAGCTACAAATATTCCAACACATTAGGATGATGCTCTTTATCTTGTGAAATGTGTCGGAGTTGATTAATAGAACTTCTCTGCTTTGGCACGTGTACTGCTGATGGAAACCGAAGCGCTAGACGGACTGTACAATGGCGTGGGCAGATTCAAGTTGTGTACCCCGGAAGAAACAACTGTTTAATTTAAGCTCTCCATCGGTAACTGAAAGCGCATGGTCCAACGGATCCAACGGATGGTTCAGAGTTTAGAGCGCGAAATCGCTGGTCCTTGGTTCGAATCCGACCTCGATTTCTCCTGTCTAGGCTTGTGCAGTCTGGTAGCATCCCAGCCATCGTCTTCTGGTGGCAAGCTAGATAGACACCGAAAGGTTGTTACAGCTGAACGATTGTCTGTTATATTATTACATGGTCTGTTTCGCGGTTGGTGGCCTCCAAGTAACTCGATGTAAACGTTTGTGTTGGAAGTTTGTACTGGTTGCATTCAACTGAAGCAGCCGCTCCGCATTATCCGTACGCTGGGCATCAACTCCAAAGCCGCCACCTTAATGTGCTTCTTCCGACTTAGTCGTTCCGACTTGGTCAATCAGACAATCCGCCTGGATTACTAAACCTGTCCTTACTGCTGACCGAAACAGTCGTGATGGTCTGGCCCACAAGGCAGAGGGATGATGTAGGATTTTATTCGGGGACCCTGCCCCTAGTCTCTGACTCAAATATCTGAACCACAAAACAGCGGTTGTTAGGACTTTCTTCGGGGACCCTGCTCGGAGCCGATAACTCAATAGTCTGACCCTCTCGGCTGCAAGGGGTCCGCCTAACCCGAAGGCGCAGGGTGTAGGGCATTACTGCCCCACACCTAATGCGGCTGCGCACAGCAGGTGCCTTCTGAGCTGCACCGGACTCCTTGGTTTCAAAAGTAACTTTTCCAACCCATCCTTCCTCGTGGGAAGGCAGCATCGCTGCTCCCATGGATATGGACATGCTGGTCGCCTGTGGGAAACACCTTGCTACCTTCACACTCCTATCTCATAAGACAGTACGGCTTTATCTCCAGACCGCTTCGTAGTACGAGTACTCGCTGTTCTTTGTCGGGCTGCAATTTGTTAACCTTCCTGGCATGGTTGAACATTTAGGAACGGAGTTCCAACCAGTGTAGCCCAAATGATCATTGCAGGACAGGAGCCCAACTACCACAACAAGGTGGTGGCTTTAGAGCAGTTGTCAAACGGAACTGAACCTGCGCATGAGACATAAATAAAAAAGATCCATCGAAGGTGCCAACTCCGGGATATAGTAACATCAGGTCTCAAAACGCATGGCCACACAGGAAAGGTAAGACCCTGCCCCTTACGTGTGCCTTTTACGCCGCGGAGAGACCTGCGAACTGGTTGAGTTACCACCTCGTACTCACACAAGGCTGACACTGAATTCCACAGGCCCTGTTACATGCCTTTTCACCACGAATGAGGTTGCTGGCCCCGAAGTAGTACAGCCAATCGTAACGAGGCTGGTCGCCCAGCCGCGTCCTTATAGTCACGGTCAGAGGCGCGACACCGCAAGCATTCGTTCTGTAGTGTTCTGTGACACATAGATATATGATACATTAGGTAGCAGCCTATATGGTTTGTGGGTTAACCTTTTGTAGTGTGGGATCCGCGTGGATTCTTGCCTAACACCCTTTGATAAACGGAATGAGCATGCTAAAGACAAAGACTTTAGACTTCCCCAACATCTCGTTAATTGTCCTACCGGTCAGCAATTTTCCAAGGAACTCACCTCTCGCAGTATCAGATCGTGTATCCCTCCCGTCACTGCTCCCAAGTTTTCAGGACTTATTTTCAAATTTTCGCAATTTCAGAAACTTATTTATTGAGGAAACGATTCATGCTTCTCACGGCCAGTCGTTGGGCCTCCGTGCGTCCAACGCTAAATTTGGTCTACTTTGGAAGTGACGTTTATTCATTGGCACACTTACGTGCCATCAAAGAGAGTCCTCCCCCAACTGCACCCACATTCAACATCGAACTTGTCGTAACAGCTAATGACAAAACTCCAGTTGCTCGTTACTGCTCAGAGACCGGCTTAGGTAGGTATTCGAATCAATTTTCTTTCGCACACTTTCTTGCTGTTCCGATTTAGAATTTGCGTTTGTTGATTGATACCTCTTAGGTTTGTATTCACATCGCTGTCGTTTTGAGAGTCCTCAGTTTCTCCCCGTACGTTGACTTTGGTTTGTCCATACCAAACTGGACAGGATACTGACTCATTCTGAGTTTCGACCCTATTAGAGCCGTCGTCACTGCATTTTGCATAATCAGGTTTGAGCTCAAGCCACATAAATCACGCACCTGAATTGCCATTCCTCCCTCTCTC